TTTGAAGTAAAGCAAGACAAAGTCTGCTTTTTTCCTGAGGTCGTTCGACCCACCTTGCGGAGAATATTCATAAAAAATTGGAGACTCTCAGGCTAGCCGATCTTCCACTTCCTCTGTGTGGCCCTATCCTCGTGCCAACAAGAGGCAACTCAGTCTGACCTCTAGCGCTCTTCCCCAGGAAGAAATTTTACGCTAAGTGACATGACCTCAAACTCGACTTCCGATCTTTCTTCGATCAATAGCTCCTGGAATTCTAGAGATAAGACAGCGACTAAATTTCCTTGTATAGGCAATACATTGTAGATGACAGGGTGTATGTTTGGATGAGCAAAGACTCCATATGAAAAAGAAAAAAATTTGAATTCAAAAATACCCAAAGTGATTCACTAATTATGGGACAACCTAATATTTTATTATTTTTTTGTTCCATTCATCCAGCCCAATACATCCATCAATATCTACAACCTATTGCCAACACACTAGAAGCTGTTCGATGCCTCCCTTGTAGGACTCTACTGAATTCTGATCGAAGAAAGATCAGATGTCGATTTTGACATCATGATGGTTAGGATGAGCTTTCTTCTCTAGGAGGTGGTTTGGAGAGGGGAGCAGGTGGGCACTTTGGCACGAGGTCAGGGCTATAAGGTAATACGAAAAAAACTCTCCGTCCGAGAGTCCCAAAATTTTTGGATTTTCTTAGCAAGAGGTGGTTCAACGGTGTCATACAAAAGCAAACTTTGCCTTGTTTTTCTTTCGTATTAAAAGCGTTGCATTCGAGCTGTGGATAGTTGACTTTCGCGTTGACTGCGACATCTACACGGAGGGGTTTCCAGAGCTCAACTCCTCTCGTGTTCCACCAAAAATCCGAGAAGGCCCTACTTGGACGAGGTTGAACTTAAGCAGTAAGAACTCCCGAAGCGTTTGAGCTGGACTACCGCCGCTTGTTCATTTGTTAGCACACTGTACCCACTCCTCATCTTCGGCAAATGTGATGGATGGTCAATCGAAGAATCCATAGTAAGTCGACTTGAACATGACGATGTCAGATCGTGTTTGGAGCTGAATCGGGCTCAAGGCACGTGGGGACCAAACTCTATATTTTCGGATCTTCACAAGTCTTTGGAGATGCCACAGTGCTGTCTCCTTGTCGCATCGGAATCGCTCTAGCAAATGATCGATACTCTATCCAGATCCCTTTTCAACGGCGTCAGATAGAGCATCGTGATCGTAATTACCAGTCACGGGTTGGTTGGAACTGGATCATCCTCAAATAAACAAAAGTTCATGCGACGCAGTGAAGCCGGTGCACCGTGAATGGAGAGCATGCCTTCGCTCGTCCTCCGGCTAATAGTTAGTGTAGCCTGACTTGCGGAACGTTCCAAGCAGTACTCGCAAAAATTAGGGGCACGACGGGTTTTTCGCGAACTCGGTGTAATAGCCTGTAACAAGTAAGCGAGACAGCTAGCTGGACGCCGTTGGCTGAAATTGCAAAAGTTGATGCTACGTCAGGAAATATGTTGCGGAATTTTGAGTTCTCACAAAATTTTCTTGAATAAATGCAATTTGTTGCAAGACTTTTGGACCAACCTAACAGTTTCGTTCAAAGCGGCTTCGGTGGCCCTAAATCTAAATAAGCTACTACACCTAGTGCCCTCCACAGCCTTGTAAACATATTGAAAATCGTCAACGAAATAAGTTCTGGCAGTGATACGAAAAAATATGCACGAACTTTTGGGACAACCTAATGTGACCATGCCCTATCATGAACACAATCGATTAACTCGTACAAGCTAGTCGAAGCTTCAGCTTTCATGTTCCTTGCTTGTCCCGTGAGTGCTTTTCAGTTCGTTACGCTTTGCGCTGTCCACCGAATTCCTCCTTTCGTCAGTGGTTTTACTTGAATATACCTTACGCGTGCTGATGATGTTTAGCGTTCGTCAAAATTTTTATTAAATTTTTTTAAGGGTTGCTTAATCCTCTTGATGCTCAACATCATCTGCGGAGTGACGATGTTTCTATTCCATTCAGGGAAGGTGTGGTTTTAGACAAACCAACCAAACCTGATAGAGGCTCACTTTGCGATGTTGGCCTTGAAAAGGTAATCCAATTTTTGACGCAACGCTGTGTATCATTCAGCGCTGCTGTTGCAAAGTCGTTGTTATCAAAAGTGGTGTGATAAATGTCAGTTAATGGTCTCATTATCAGATCGTGTTGACTGGGATATACTGTTGATCTATTGTTGCTAATGTTAGTGTGTTTCTGTGTCTTGCACGTATGTTCCTGTCATTTCGCTTAGTGCATGAAAACTAATTTTTTAAAGGAGCTGGAACTGGAGGACAAGATTCAACTACCTGCCGCCACTCGTGTAACGGTTGAGATTACTAATTTGGGCGAAAGTGGGTTCTTTGTTGAGAAAATCGGTCCTTTTTTACATCATAGCTTATTTTTATCTTATTTGAGATTCCAAACGATATCGCGGCAAGCTCTCCAGTGCACGAAAAGTACGAGAAAAAACGGGAAAGTATTGGGGTTATTCTGTGAAGTTGGCGACGAGCTTGAAAGAAGTGCTTGATAGGTAAGATATGTTCGAATTTAAGAACGACTTTGTTCGTCGGTGACGTTTAACCTCTTGTCCTCAGTCCCGCTATTGGAATTTTTCAGAAAGAAATTCGATGTAATCATTGGTACGTCCCCACGAGGGGAACCCGTCACCAATATGTTTCTCAATACTTTGAACGACATGTAAGTTTCTTATTTTGTGACTTACTTTTTTCTGAAATGCTTATTGCGAAAGATAGGCTCCGATGCACGCAGTTGTTCGCTTGCTCAATATATTCAATGTTCAGCCAAGTGCTGCTGGTTTTTGGTGGCGTTTCTGGAGTTGACGCCGCGCTTGAGGCCGAAGAAGCACTCACAGAAACGCGAGCTGAAGAAGCCTTCGATAGGCTGGTGAACTCTCTACCAAATAAAGGAACAAATAGCGAGCGAGTAGAAGAAAATGTTTTCATAACGCTAGCGGAAGTCACTATGCGACTACAACAGCTGTGTTCGCAATGATGCTATAACAGTATTCTTCCCATTTATTTTATTTACATTGTTTTTCTTTTCTCTCGCACGCTTATTTCGGTGACCAATCCAAGTGAATGACCCCTAAGCTATCGTTGTTAGGTCAGTTTATGCTATACATTTTTCAAAAATTAGAAATTTGTGATGCGTTTCCCTTTTCATGTCAAACATAAACTAAGAAAAGCATCTCCCTTCTTGATTCTCTGTATTATTACCCGAATCTAAGAATTTCTACGGTTAAATTTTCATTAATATTTTTCTCACATAGATTCTATCAATTGTTATGATTCCCAGTTTGTTCGTCTGATTTTGTTATTGTTGTTGTGTTAATGCTGTTATTTTCGCAGGCTGCTCTTGATAAAACAGATCTCTTTTTGACATGAAGGATCCTATGCCAACCGTATCTCGGTTGCTATATTCAATTCTGATCGACTGCAGTGTTTTCAAATATTGAGTGTTCAGAGATTCGCATGTTGTCAATATTTTCAAAAGTGCTCCACAGCACTTCTCGTTATGCAGCAGTCCCTAGGAGTGCTTTGGTATGTGTTTCATGATTATTTGAAATAGTTTACTCGGCTGAAAAAGAGGAAGTATTCGATGGAGTCAGCCTTTCTTCAAAATCTTTATGAATTCCCTTTTCTTCGGTGCCTTCGATCCAATGTTCTCCGACGATCTTCCTTAGTTGAAATATTTGTTAGTGGCAGGAATATTCAATTAATATAGAAAAGAGAGTGTAGAATGGATGGGAGAAATCCAGTGTTAAGCTCGAAAACATCAGCTTTCATTTCAGAACCCTTGAATGGGGCTGGATTTAATTTTTTTTTCTGACAAAAGTTGAACCATCATGTTACTATGAAAAAGTAAGGACGAGCTTCATACGTTGCAAGAAACAATTAAGAGCATGATCTCAGGATCGAGTGATCAAAACGTCTCTACACTAGAACTGCATGCGAAATGCCATGCGAAGTATGACCACGTCTCAGCGTGCAGTTTTTGCCAACACTCACCCTTAATTCAAATTTTTTGACTTGATTACAGCTATCTCTATAATGTTTTTATACTGCTGTATGGCCAGATGGAGCAGGAATGTTTAAAGGAGGCAATCCTCAATGTGACAACTGGTTTTAGGGGGAAAATGTTACAAGAAGTGGGCGGTCATGCATTGTTCGTACATTTTTTTTCAGTTTCGTGGTCCATTTCGATGTGACGTTTTTATGAACCGATGCGAAAACCACTTACATATAATGCCGAGAACATTCACTTCACAGGTCTCGTCAGCGAAACCTACAGAAACGATAAAAAAGGCTAGGAGAAAGAGTCAGTTCCGCTATAGTTATTTTTTAAATTTCTGTGGTGAATGCCACTTGAATGGTCTTGTGCTCTTCTTTTTCTTTTTGCTTCCATTGAAATCAGGTAATCGTTTTA